CCCCCCCCCCCCCGCGCCCTCAGGGGGTCCTGGGGAGGGTCAGTGCTGGCTCCTCCCCCAGGGCACCTCCATACTAGCGGAAGGTCTCCTTCTCTTAGGTGCTGGATGATAAAAATGTGCGCCGGCGGTTCCGTGCCAGTAACTACCAAAGCACCACCCGGGTGAAGCCTTTCATCTGCACCATGCCCATGCGCCTGGATGATGGCTGGAACCAGATCCAGTTCAACCTGTCGGACTTCACTCGCCGGGCCTATGGCACCAACTACATTGAGACCCTGAGAGTCCAGGTAGGGAGTCCGAGGGCTTAATTCCTGGTGGCGCCCATGAAGTTACTTCCTCCTTAAAAAGCCTTGATAGACCCAAGGGGGGTGTGAGAGAGGAAAGATGAAAAAGAGATCTCTCTCTCTCTCCCTCTCTCTGGAGAGCTGGTCCTCCTGACTAATTGTTGGATAATTCTTCCAATCAAGTTGTGTTATAATATAAAACGCTTTCTGTACCTATCTCCTTTGTTCTGTTAATTCACAAACTAAGAAAGTGTGCTTCTGTTAAAGCCAAGGAATCTTCTGAGGAAAACTATAGGAGAGAACATCCGTCTTAAGGGACCACAGCCTCTTCACTTGAGCCAATGTTGGTTGGGTTTTGAGGATGGCATTTTCAACGATGATTTGAACTGCCAAGATATCAAATAGACACAAAATAATGCATAAAGAAGCAAGACTTGTTTTTCGTAGTTAGAGGGATGAGAGTCTGTTATTTCACATTACAAAATAGTTTAGTTTATTGTCATTGCACCTCATACAATGAAATCAAACACCATCTTCAGTGCACATCATGACCATGAAAATAAACACAAACACACCACCCTCCACACATTGACACCACATCAACACTGCACTATACAGCGCATTTATTTATATATTTATATAAACATACATATTTGTTTTCGTAGATTTTCACGGGTACAGGTATGCAGGTCTTGGCGTATTCGGGTCTTTTCCCGTGTAGGATTGAGAGTATCTTGGTGACGTTTCCACGAGGTCCCACTCGCCATCTTCAGGCTGGTGCTTTTGGCTTCAAGACCTGCATACATACATATATACATATACACTATATATCAATAATGTAAGGTGGCCCACCTAAAATTTTATTTATTGCTTCAAATTGCTTTGATTTTTTTAAAAATAGTAATACCTAATTTTAATTCAAAATATTATTTTCCTTCGGAATGTTTAAAATGCTTTATAATCTTTATTCTTTTACAAAAGCAAAAGTGAGAATGGGCTGATAGCTTCTGGGTTTTTTGTTTTGCAAATAAATGTACCAGAAGATGATCCTCTATTTCCTTTGTGATTTAATTTGTCTTTGGGCACACCGGAATACAGTTTCCCATCAACTCCAGTTTGACCTTTGGGCTGGGTTAAAATCGGAGAGTGGATCCAAATTTGGAATAGCAGCCCATGCAGAACAAATGAATTCAGAGTGAACAGCTCAGTTGATAGGATTAGGTAGAAAATGTTTGTTATTAGAACTCATAGTAAATGTTTGTAATTTGTCGAGCAACACAGAATACCCGTTTTTCCCGTAAAAAAATCAGAGGCAATTGTCTTTTGATAGTGGTGAGTCAACAACTTCAGAATTTATCAAAGGATCTAGAGCTTTTCATCAAAGGACATTTCCAGTGAACTTTGTTTCTCAATTTCTCAACCCGGATACAGGTAGAAGAAACCCTAGAATGGACAAGAGGTTCTTTGCGCTCAGGAGCTCTGGGTCCATCTGAAAGGGAGCTCTTGAAGGGCAGTGGATCTGCAGGGCTGCCACTAGGAGCTTGCTAGGTAGCTGAGGCTTGTAGGGAAATCCAAAAGGCTTTGGCTGTGATTGTTGAACCTATCATTTGCATAAGCCCTCTAACTAACTATCCAGAAGTAAAGGTCCAGATTGGAGATGGCATCCAATAAATAAATAGCCCTTTGCCTGCTGGATTTTGTTCCCCAGGAACTATACTGTAAAAATTTTGATAATTTGGTTTGAATGAAAATGCCAGGCCATTCTTAGATGGGGCTAGGATTTGAAGTGGCTGCATCTCCAGATATGATTTCCTTTTCAGATCCATGCAAACTGTCGCATCCGCAGAATTTACTTCTCTGACAGACTTTACTCTGAGGACGAGCTTCCTGCTGAGTTCAAACTTTACATTCCTGTCCAGAACAAGGCAAAGGTGAGCAGCAGGTGGGGGGTGGATGAGATGGTCTGTTTCATGAAGAGTCCTACAACTACAGCTCTCATTAGGGCAGCTGTGGGTGAGAGACCTGTTGTATTTGTTGCATTTGGTGCTCTCAGCAAAAAAATGTCTGAGGCCAAGAAATTGCTTGCTCTCTGTGGGAGTTGGTGTCTTGCTTGTGTTCCCAAAATAAATTCTGGAAGGGCTCCCTTTGCCAATGTTCAAACACTGCTGAGTGCAGGAATTCACTCGGAAGCTTCTCCCCAGAGAAGTGGCAGTTTAGCCCCCGTTCGAACACATCGACTGAAAAAGAGACCACGCTTCTCTTAGTTCCCCCATTGAGCTGCTCTCCCTATTAGAATGTTTTTTTTCTAGCATTCAGCATTTGAGGGAGGCATCTTAGGAAAGGAGTTGGTCTCTCACAGTCTGTGGGCGCTGCTGCTGTTGTGAGAATGTTCCACTTCCGCAGGCCACATTTCAAACCCCAGTTTCATTGTGGTTGGGCACCATGTTCCCAACAAATCCTGCCTTGTATTTCTAGAAATGTATGCTGCCCAAAGAGTTGACTTTTTCTGTCCAGGTAAAAGTTTGCTACGTGTATATTGAATAACCTTGTCTCTTTGCACGTGTTGCCCAATGCAGCAATGATGGCGTGATGGGAAGCCTCCGGCAGAAACAGTGTGAAGATGCTGATGGAAGAGTATTTTTTTTAAATTAGAAACAAAATGTAGGTGTGGATTTCCTGGAGTAACTATATTTAATAACAGTTGGTATCTGTGATGCTGGGACCAAACAAAACAAAATATATCATTGTTCCGTGTGAGAGATGAATCGGGCTCCACTTTGAAGTTGTGGATCACTCCTAGGGAGACCATGAATCGTGGAACTGATTTGCCTGGCAAGTGGAGGGTTTTGTTGAAGCAGTTCTGAAACCCTGGTGCCCACACAGATGCCAGTGGTTTCCTTCTTTGCTCTGTCTCTGTGTTTGCCCTAAGTGCGTGTGAGCTACTCTTGTCCTGGAAGCTGCTATTAAATATTTGATTTTCTTTGTAAGCCTGTGCTTGGTCTCTCTTGGCCATTGGGAGCCAAAGGTTCCTCCCTGCCAGTGCAGTGTAAAAGCACAGGTTTCCAGCTTCTCTGTACCCCAAGGATAGGGTCAGGGCCCACAGATCGTGCTGCTAAGCCATTGTACATTTGGCATACCTGTGACCCTCCTGAGTCGCAGAAACGGGCATTTTATTGATTGGAAAAGCCAAGGAATCTTTGAGGAGACCTAATGGGCAGGGCTACTACTAGTCCATCTAGAGCACAGGGGTCAAACTTGCCACATCACGTTGCCGTCACATGATATTTTGCTACCTTTTTCACATGGGCAGAGGTGGGGTGGGCACAGCCTGCATGTGACGGATCTGGCTGGTGGGCCGCCAGTTTGACCCCCCTGATCTAGAGGGTAGCCAGGCTCCGAGAAGACGCCGGGCAGGCTGCACCCTTCCTAGTTTTGCTGAGCTCCCAAGGATGAGCAGCAGGTGGCGCTATAGGAAGAGCTCTTGCTAGCCTAGAAGAGATTCTGTCAGCAACCCTTCTGGGGACCAGTTGATTTTTTTCCCACCAGGAGGGAATGGCATTTGCATACTGATTCTCCCCGATAATGGGAGAGGCTGTTTAAACTTTGCTCTTTAATTCATCAAGGGACCATCCCAGAGGGCTTGGCTTGGCTTCTGCTACAGACACGTGACAAGGGACAGAGCTGGTCAATTTTTGTTTTGGTTAGCTTTTGGTTTGCAGCAAGATCAGGGCTTGGATGAGAGGGAACTTTCTGATAAAAAAGTTGACCAAATCCAGTGTTGACTGACCAGGATTACTTTGGTACAGTTTAGTTTGGTTTGATTGGTTGATTCATATGTTGCAGCCAATAACAAATAAAGGTATAACTAGAAGCCAGCATGGGTTTGTTAAAAACAGATCTTACTAAACCATTCTTATTTCATTCTTTGACGAAGTAACAAAATTAGTAGACCAGCGAAATGCTGTGGACATAGTATACTTCGATTTCAGTAAGGCATTTGACAAAGTAGGCCATTACCTGCTTCTTGGTAAGTTAGAAAAATGTGGAATAGGTAGCATCCCCACAAGATGGATTTGTAACTGCTGACAAACCATATTCAATGAGTCATCCTTAATCTACATGGAGGGAAGTAAACAGTGGGGTACCACAAGGTTCCATCTTAGGCCCAACACTCTTCAATATCTTCATAAAAGACTTAGATGAGGGAATAGAAGGGGAACTCATTAAATTTGCAGATGACACTAAGCTGGCAGGAATAGCCAACACCACAGAAGAAAAGCTCAGGATCCAAAAGGATTTTGACAGACTTGAACAATGGGCCCTATCTAACAAAATAAAATTCAATGTATAGAAAAATAAGGTTTTACACTTAGGCAGGAAAAACCAAAGGTACAAGTACAGATTAGGTGAAATCTGGCTCAAAAACAGTAACTGAGAGGGACCTTGGAGTCCTAGTGGACAATTATTTAAACATGAGCCAGCGGTGGTAGCCAAAAATGCTAATACAATTCTTGGTTGTGTAAGCAGGCATAGAATCAAAATCATGTGAAGTATTAGTACCACTTTATAAAACATTAGTAAGAGCACACTTGGAATACTGCAACCAGTTTTGATCACCACATTACAAAAAGAATGTTGAAACTTTGGGAAAAGTGCAAAGAAATGACCTCCTAAAGACTAAAACATGGAGAACGGTTGCAAGAATTAGGAATGGCCAGTCTAGAGAAAAGAACTAGGGGTGACATGATAACCTTCTTCCAGTATTTGAGGGTCTGCCCCAAAGAAGAAGGGGTCAAGCTATTCTCCAAAGCACCCAAAGGGCAAGACAAGAAAGAATGGATGGAAACTAATCAAGGAGAGAAGCAACCTGGAATTAAGGAGAAACTGCCGAACAGCGAGGACAAGTAATCTGCTTGGTTTAATCAGCTGAAGTTTGCTTTTAGAATTAGTGGGTGCTTCATCACTGGAGGTTTTTAAGAAGAGACCGGACAGCCACTTGTCTGAAATGGTAGAGGGGCTGGACTAGAAGACCTCCAAGGTCCCTTCCAGCTCTACTCTATAATTTATGGTCTATGATTTACAAAGCAGAATAGCTGGATTCACAACATGCCAACCGAAGGTTAAGTTTCACTAGAGCTTTGCCGTGGTGAGGTCGGGGTTGCTGGTAGCATCAGAGCTGGGGATGTGATGAATGGCTTTTACATAGAGAAGAGCAAAGATCCTTGCCAGAGACTACAGGAAGCTGTTGGTATGGCAGAGCATCTCTTCGCCCAGGCCAGGCCTGAGACTCCATCCTGCATTGGGCTCGTAGCGCTTTGGGGTTGAGGGAAGGGGGCCATCCAGCTGGGCTGAGCTCCTGTCACCAACAACACTTCCAACGATGTGTGGCGTGGATTTCCTGGTCTGGTCCCCTTTGGGCCAACGACGTGCGCTGGACGTCTGGCCATCCAGCTGCACCCGCCCACCCAGGCCTCCTGCAGGCAGAGGGGAGTCACAGGGAAGGTTGGCAGGCTGGTACCCCGCTTTGGGCAGTTGGGCTGGCCAGACAAATGAAGCATAGGGAGCCCTTACAGCCGATCACTTAGTGGCCCTTCAAAGTCACAACGGCCCTGGAAAAAAGACAGGACTGTTTTTCACACGGCTGTTGCTGCAAACCCCTGATCACATCATCAAAATTCAGGCCCTTGGCAACTGACTCATGCTTACGACAGTCACAGTGTCCTGCGATCATGTGATCACCTAACCTGGCAAGCAACTGAGAAAGCCAGATGCATTTAACAACCTCATAACTAACTTAACTGCAGTGATTCACTTAACAACGGTGGTAAGAAAGATTGTTAAGTGGGGAAAGCTTAACAGAAAATTTGGGCTCCATTGTCATAAGTCGAAGATTACCTGTATAAGATGCGCACCTGCCAGCCGTAAATTACCAGGGAGTGAGTTGCTGGAAGTTGTCTGATTCAGGTGGTCTCTCTTGAAGGGCTGCTCAACCTCCACCCTTGTGTGTCTGCCAAGGCAATGTGGAAGAAGAGGCCGTTGCAAGCAGGGCAGGAAACAAGCCACCAAAGGAGACCAAGCAGCCGGTCTCCAGAGATGAGGGAGCGCGGTTTCCGGCTGGACTCACGCCTGGTTCTGGCTTGGGTAGAGCCAGTTTGGTGCAGTGGTGAAGGTGCCACACTAGAAATGGGCGGAGCGTGAATTCTAGTCTCGCCACGGGCACAAAGCCAGCGAGTGATGTTGGGCCAGTCCCGCTCGGTCCTGCAAAGGAGGCAGGTGAGCCACTTCCCCGAAACCTCACTAAGAAACCTGCAGAGATTCATCCAGGAGTCAAAAAGCCAAAATCAAATCCCGTGTGGTTTTGGCCTCCCTCCCTCCCTCCCTCCAGGCTGAAGTGTGTGAGCCCAGGAGTTCTGTCCATTGATGCGAGGGGACAACTAACCACATGTTGCTTTGAGCAATCTACCCTCAGGCCTTTTGTCGGAGAAGGTTTCCCTTTTAGCGTGGAAAAAGCCAAAGAAGAAAACGTGACAGAGACGACCCAGGTTTGGTGCCAGGGCAGGGGGAAAATTAGTCAAAGGGCTGCAGTCTAAATGCCACCAAAATAGAATATCCCCCCCCCCCCCGCTTCCTCAACACTTTTTCTGCTGAGTGGAAAGAGAGGTGAATGTCACGAAGGGGCCATGCGGATTTTTCCCTGCCAAAGAAGTGCAGCCGCCCTCCTGGAAGGGATGAGTGGGGCAGTTTTCTGTCAGTTGAAGTGGCCACCAGGTGGCGCTCTTCAGGTGCGTCCCTTGAGACTGTGCAAGGAAGCCGGTTGCTCCTCCTGCAAGTTCTTCCAAGTCTCCCACTTCCAAATCCAGGAGCAGGGCCACCTCCCCTCCCCCTCGCCTTCCCCGTGCTGGACGCAGGCTTGGGCATCTCCTGCTGGGCTCCCAAGACTCAGAAGGGCAACCGTCCTGATGGCTGGTCAAGGGAAAGGCCTGAAAAACCTCGGGGGGGGGGGGGGGGGGGGGAGGGTCGGCAGTGCTTCTCTCCAGGGCTGCGTCCTCAGCTTCTCTGCTTGGCTAGGAATGGTGCAGGGTGGAAACCGCTGGCAGCCTCTCGCCAAGGCCTGCATGGGTTAGTGGAAAGCTGCTCTGGAGCCCAAGTGCAGCAGCCCTGGGAAAGGCTTCTGGGTTCCTGAGCTACCAGCAGATTTCTGAAAACCGTTCTGATGAGCACTGTGCAGGGAGAACATTGTGGCTGTCTTCACACAACGGGTCCCAAATCCTAGGTACACGCTGAAGTCAATGGAGGCTGCCAGGCCAGGGTTCTGGGTCAAGCCAGCCTGCCTTGTGGGTCGGCTCCCTGGATGAATCCAAAACAGATTTGTGGTGTGGAAGGTCAAGGATTTCAATGCTGAGGGTCAGAGTGTTCTGTCACTGGAGGCTTTTAAGAAGGGACCAGACATGGCATGAGGTTAAATGCCTCCAAGATCCCTTCCAACGCTGTCCTTCTGTTATTCAGAGTCTCTTGGTTGAGCTGGGTGGCTGTAGAAATGGAGTAAAATAAAATTTGGACCTGGAAACAACTAAAAGCAAATTTGCGTTCACAGAGTGTACTTTTTCGTTAATGTTGAATACATGTTAATTATAAGGGAATGTAATTAGTAAAAATGGCATCCTATTGGCAGAGAATGCCAACCGGTAACTTGTGAAGGGGAGGTTTCTGGTCCTCTGATGGGAGCTAGAAATGTTTATTGTTCGATCTCTTCTTGAAACCCTCCAGTGATGGAGCAACCACAACTTCTGGACGGAAGCCATGCCGCTGACAATGGTTCTCACCTTTGGGCGGAGACTGGAGAAACACCCACAGGTGGCAGCTGTGGGGCCCCAGGCCTTTCTCCTGCCAAGGCTGACCTGCCGGCTCCCAGGGATTTCTGGCTGTCCCAGGCTGAACCTGGTGGCAGAGGTCTTGCCAGATCTTGCCCCCAGCCTGGCCAGAGCCC